GAATCGATCGATATTTTAATTAAAACCAAAAATAATATGTAATTGTACTTCAAAGTAGTTCAAACTTCAAACATTCAAATGACGAAACTGAACACATCCGTAATGTTAATGTATTAWACTATAATATATGTAAACTAAAAGAAGAGCTTTAAGGTTTGCATTGCAACTCTGCTGCAGCATCATCGATAAATATTTGTGAGGAGGCGCCAGTCCCCGAAACACCGAGTCTGCAGATAAGTAAAATTTCGATTAAATCATAACATTATGCTGCATCGAATAATGTGATAACTGATAAACTTATAAATTATTAATTGGTAATAATTCCCAATGGGTATAAGTATATAAGATATGTACGATGTACCTATATAATGTGACTGGAAATAGTGGAAATGTTGACATTTAGGAAATGATGACAATTCCTTGTAACGGAAGATAATTATTATTATATCATCGTCTAGTGTTTATGTTAACCTAACGATATCAGGAAATTTAGAAGATAACTAGATTACAGTAATTATAATTTATATTATTTCAAGTTCATTAGCAAAAAAACTATGATCTTTATAATGTATACTAATATACCTAAGTACTGGTTTCCTAAAAATCAGGGYTTTAGCCTTTAATGTTTCTTTTTAATATTTTTATTATGTTTTTTGTTATATTTAATTATATAATTACATGTTTATTATTAGTAAGAAAACTATGATCTTTATAATATATACCTAAGTACTGGTTTCATATACAAATAAATGTCATAAAGATTCATGACCAAGAAAACTCTGATCTGATTTTTAACATATAAGTATATAACTATATAAGTAACCACGTTCATGGTACATATACAATATACGATACCTACCTATTCCATATATATTTTACATTTTTACATCAAATTATAGGTACAGCAAAAAAATACAACATATTATTATACATTGAAACTGAGAAAAAAATGTGTGTCAATGACTAATGAGGTATTTAATTTATTTAGATTAATTATTTAATATTTTACAAGACAAAACTACAAAAATAATGATAATTGAAATATTTCAAAATGTGTGAAATATTTCATGAAATTTTCAAACACTATATATACCTAAACAGTAGTTATATGTATACAAAACTATATAGTATATACCGTCTGAGGAGGAATAATATTATATTTTGTTGGTAGATATAATATCACTCTTCTGCTACCGCCGCTGTTGCTGCACCCACGACGTTTCGTGCGGTTTTTATTTCCAATTTTTTTCTCCGTTTCCGAGGTTTCCGCGACCGTAAACCGCCGTCATACATCCTATACATTGTGTAATAATTTTACATTATACACACACACACACACTGCACCGGCGACCCACCAATAATCCAGTGGTAAAACTCTATCTAATATATATATATATATATATAATTTGTATATATGTATGTGGTACCAACCTGCAAATAGCCATTTACGTACGCCGTATAATTTTCTGTGCACGCCAATGTGAACATTTTCGTATGTGGGTTTATGCATGGGATCGTTATTTATTATTATATTTTAATATTACACACAATCCGTTATAATAATGTCCCGTACCGCATACATTAACCGCGACATCATGTAAATTTWTATTATTACCTCTTTGGCAATATAATTATTATTAACGTTATCGAAAGCACATATGTGTTCACYCGCAATAATAATAACAATAATAATAAATCTTTTATCTTACGATTTATCATAACATATTTAWACCTAATCAAAGTGTTTGAGATTTAAGTCTGCCGAACGAATATTGTTTATTTTTCGCTTCTCCGCGTTATTCTATAATATATTYGAGCAGGTAGCAGGTTAATGTATTSGTACAGGTRGTATAATATTATAAACGTATAGGTACCAAGGTACCTATCTATAATGTACACGACAGCTGTTCACAGTGGATGGATACCGTAGTTCGTGTTTAATGAAATCTATAATCTTTTGATACTTTTTTGCTTTTTCGTATACATATAATATATAAATAATTATTTGAAATCCTATACGGTGTCGTGAAAAAAAAAACGTCTTACCAGCATAAAAAAAGACCACGGGGTGGCCATCATAGCAATACTATATGGCTATAATTTATATTAGGTACATAGGTCGGTAAGTATCTGGTATATTTTATATTAGTTGTTGTATTAATATATATATATAATATTCTAATATGTATATGAAATCATATACCTATATTAAATAATAACTACCATTTTACATATTCGGATGAAAATACAAAATATTTATTGATTTAAATAACAGCTCAGCAATCAATGACGGTTGCTTAATAAATGTCAAATTAAAATTAATTTAAGTATTTACAAAGTGTTATAATTATCATTAGACTATAATATATTTTGTTGATTAAATTATTTCCAATTCTCAATCGATTGGTTCTTCAATAATGCGTCTACAAGTTTAGATAGTTAAGCTTCCCGGCAAAATATGTTGATTTATTAATTTAGTTCTGTTTGGTTTTCTGATTATATGGCCAAGAATATATGCTATTTKTTCATATTTATAAAGTTTTTGAAATGAAATAACTTGTGGCTTTATGAAAATAATTTTAATACCAATAACTATAACGGACGTTACAGTATTATTCTTGTGAGTTGGGGTCAAATATTCAACGCCTCGAACAATACATTATTATTATATATTAAACAAAAGCAGTACCTATATATATATATATATATCATTCTCGAACACCTACCACACTCTAACAAAACCGCAATGACAGCCTGCAGAGTACGATCGTTGATTCTTTAATATCTTAAACACCCGTTTAAGCACACGTATAAGACGTATATACATATTATATTATTTGACTGATTTTAGAAGTAGATGTTTTTTTATTTATTATATTTAATATTGAAATGCACATCAAGTCACCGAGTGCGCTCTTGCAAGAGTTTAAGTCCCTATTTAAGTACACGTTTGCACAGAATTTTTCGTTAATTTTCAACAGTAG